CACATAAAAATTATTCCTGTCAAGATGGAAAATTTTATTAGGCCTTTAGGCACTGAATAAATCACATAAATATGATATAAATAACGACACATATATATCTGTTTTCAGCAGAGATATGCTACTATCGTAAAGTAGGAGACATTTGTATGGATCCTTATTCAAGGAATGAGTCCCGTAATTGTACTTATTTAAATACCTCCCAAATCTGGCATATTTTGCTCATTCTATTTCAAGTAAGAATGACTTCTTGTTTTAGCACCATGGTAAAAAACTAACCAACCCAGTTTCCTTTAACCTCTCAACACCACACTAGAAGAGCGCTAGTAATGTTCTGACCACCATGTTGCCTTTTTAGAGACAATTTGAGAGTCATCTTTTCTTATCCAGGATGATGGTATAATAGCATAGGACTACGGCAATTTTAAAAAATGTCTCAACGCACAACTTTGCTCTTCATTGTGTGTTCTATTACAGCCCAGGTAGTTTTTTTTATTTTTTATTTTTTTATTCCATAATTTATTAGATTGGTAATTTCTTAAGCTGTCTGATCCCTAGACAAATAATTGTATAAAAAGTTTTTTTTCTTGTTTTTTTCATACTAGTAGCTGGATGCCCAGGGATTTTTGGTGCAGCTGAACTTATGACTTGTACCTTTTTTATGCAAAATGTTATGGAGAATTTAAAGTATTTCCTGGCAGACTGGTTGCTATTTGCATAACAAGAAATGTCTATTAAAAGACTCTTGGGGTAATATTAATAATCAGCAGACATTTTGAAAAAATATTCCCTGTAGCATTTTATTTTGCTTTGCAGTGTTTACCTCTAAGTACAGATGCTTATTCAGGAAAGAGAAAAGCTAAATGATTTCCTTTGTGCCAGTGTGGTCAAAAAGCATATCCCAGTTTGACTGAGACTTTGGGAGCTGGGAGCACAAAAGAGGCAAAATTCTTTTCTACTCTAATACAGAGGTCAGTAGAGTTAAACTACCATTAAATTTGGGGCAGGTATTTTAATGATTTCCAGAAATACAACAACTGAATAGAAATAATGTGAATACAGAGATCTTATTTCCTTTCAATTAGACCACTGCTGCTTGTGGCCAAGCTGAAAGAGACTTGAGATAAATCTTTTGTGAAAAAGAAGTATTTCAAAATGAAGGATAATGGTTTCGAGGATATGCTGAATAAATTTGTGTTTATAAAATGAAACTTCCCCTGTGTTTTAATGTCTGCATTTGTTTTTGCTTTGAAGAAAAGTAAGCAGTTTGGTAAATGCTAGGGGTGAGAGCATGTCTGTAGCATTGATGTTCCATGCATAAAGAATATGAAATCCTGTAGGCAGAGAATTGGATCAAGGAAAATTGTGAATGTAGTTTGTATTTGGCACTCATGAAAATACTCTTTTTCACATGGTGCCATATTGAGCTACTCCATGAAGAACCCAATGCAAAATAATCTTATTGACATCCATACTGGATCTTTCTCTGGTGCAGATGAGTATAGCTCCATGTGCTGTGCTAATAAACATTTTTCAGTTCAGTTCAGTTAAGGATATGACTTTATTGAGGAAAAATTGATGAAATAATTTATAGATTTTTTTGTGTAACACTGAAGGTCATACTGTTGATTTAAATAAGTTCTTTATGAACTACACCATTTCACAATAACGGCTTTTAATAGTTTGTGGACTGGTCAGTTGAATAAGTAAAAGGCACAGTAATTCCTTTTTACAGTTACATTACAGTTTTAATGAGAAGCATTGATTTTTCTCTTAATACTAATATGTTTAATGACCTTTCTAATGACATCTGTCACTACTGTTTCTTCTCAAATTCTACTGGCATTTTCTTTCACTCAAGCAAAGGATTTTAATTACTTGTTGTGTTGTTAGAATGAGAATTAGTATTCTTTTAAAGTAGTATGAAGGCTTGTAGAAGTCATATTCTGTTAAAAAATAATTAGAAACTATCTGATTTTTTTGATCTTCAGAAAAATTTTAGGAACTCTCCATTCCTTTGTCTTCAGAAAATAGTTCCTTGAGTGCTACATGTGAAATTGGTTTTTCATTGTCAGTTTTTGCTTCTTGATATGAAGCTGAGTTTGTGGAATTTGACATGGAAAAGTATGTTAAGGTAGTTTCTGACAATGTCTCCCTCAAGAGTTTTGTTTTCCTTCAGCTTTTAATGGTACTATCTGAAGAAAGAACATATGAATTAACTAAAACAGTAATCTACCATGAAACACTAAAACTATCTATATATAGTTCAAAAAGGCTTACTTTTTCCCTCTGTGGTGACTTTTCTTTCAACTGAAGACAGAGCTGGTCTTGAAAAAGTCTTTTCGTTTTCTACTGCTTATCTTCTTCTATTGTTTTAATACTCTAAAACTTGGCTATTAAATACCAGTCTAACTTTAATTAGAGTGATTGTCAGCAAGCAGCAAAGCTTTTGGCTAGCTTTTAACTATTAATACAATAAAGGTTATAGGTGAGAGTCAAAGAAAGTGGCTCCAACACTGCTAAATGGTTTGCACTCTCTTGCAAATACTTAGTTTTGTTTTCTAGTGACAAAGGAGAAGTGATTACAAGTGAAAAGCAGGATGTGAATATTTTCATAAGCTACTCAGTCTTGATCATTTAACAAAAATTATGCATTATATTTTTGGATCTGCATTCCAGCTAGCAATGTTGCTTAATTGATCTGGTCTAATTCAGGTGCAAAAATGAAGTACTCACCCACTTCAGGGTACTCCAAGCAGGCATGCTCTGATGTCATGCTCAGAGCTGCCACCCTAAAAGACGAGACTTTGGGGTTACCATAACAACATCAGCCAGTCGTTGGCTGACACTACAACGTTATTGCAGGAGCTTGGAGGGAGTATTAACCAAAATACAGTCACCACACATTTTGCCTGCTTTGCTGGTTAAGAATGTCTGAGCTGTGTAGAGAAGCTTCATCTACAGCATGTTTTCTGTACATGCATGATTGAAATGGCCACATTTTTCTGAAGCTCTTTGGCATATCTGTATTATATTTTGAAGTAGCACGTTAGAGTATATGTGGCAAAACCCAACATGCATTTCTGTAAAGTTACTCATATTTACTTATTTTCTACATTAAAAATGAATGAGGATAAACATTCAGAATAGCTGAGAAGATAGTGAGGCATGTAGAAAAAGTTTCCTGAGTAGTCCTTTGCAGACAGGATGAAGAGATCAGAATCAGGTTTTCTCTATTTATTTTATAGCACATTTTGTAAAAATCCAAACGGGGAGCTGGAAATGCTTGTTGTGCACATGCAGTGTGAATGAAAACAGGATATTTAATTAATTAGACCAGAGATTGTGTTTCATGTCATAAAATAAGTCAGCTTGCTTTAAACAGGTTTCACAGACCACCTAAAATAGAGGAAGCAAGCTTGCCAATAGCTGGAGCTAATGCTTCAGTACCTTTCATTTTGTACTCTGAAAAGAAAACCTCTTCTTAAGCTCATTCATTTTCCAGAGGGAATGTCGAACGCCGTGGCATATCGTCAGAGCTGCTTTATTGTCACCATTTACAAAGGTCACCTGAATTAATTGACTTCTTACCATACGTATTGTTAAGCTACCCATTTCCTGACATTTTTGGAAAGGTGACAGTCTTAAAGCCAGTGGCTATCTGTTGATGGTTCCTTCACAGTTTGTTTCTCAAAACACAGTAATTCTAAAATTACAAACAAATAATTACATTGGTGCAAAGGAATAGAATGTTTATGATGTTCTCCAGAGTTCACAGGAGTGAGGGGGCTGAAGGGAGAAAAAGGGGTAGGAGAAATAATCAAAATACTGAGACGTTTTTAATACAGATGTAGTACTCTAAAAAGCAAACAAAAGCATACAGGAAGATGCAGATGGCATTTTTTTCACTTTGAAGCATACATTAGAGGGCTAACTTGTCTTTTTCATGGTTTAAAGTAAAATCTATCTCTGTCTTTCACTGATGCATGAATCACAGATCCATGCTGATGCACTTTACCAAATGTGTTTTCATCTAAAGGATACTGAGGTACTCTGATACTGCATGGAAGAAATGACAGACACATGCATAAGCACAAGCACATTAGGCAACTGTAGTGCTAGCCTGGAATTTTAAGTTGATTAGATTGGTTAAATAGAAAATCACTGATATTTTTCTAGCTCCCTGCATTTGCTGCCTTCTCCTTCCCCCTGTGTTGGGTTCTCTTTCTCATCAGCAGTGCTGGGCAAAAACTCCAGCTAGGCATGTGAAAACAAAGACATGGAAAGCAAAGGCAAACAGTTCTGAGCCTTGCTATACTAGAACAGGCAAAGCTTTTATAGTGATGGATTTAAACACTCTCTTTCCATGTAAATAGAGACACCCTGCTGAGATCCTGTTAATTACCAAAGAAGATTAGAACTCCTCTGCTTAATGTGATCCTTTTTACCTAACGTCAGTTCCAGCTGCATCGGTAATCAGACATTCACAGTGTCCCTTCTGACTGGAAAGGGGATGTTTTTAAGCGAAGTCATTTGCCACAATCCTTAAGATGTAGCCTGGCAGAAATTCAATAACTGTTTGTGATATGCTCATTCAGCCTCATTGCTCAGTGGTTTTTAGGTCTTGACATAAACAGCATTTCCCTTAATCCTAGCACTGGAGAGAGGAAAGGAGTCTGTCCTGTATTTTCTTTTATTGGTTTCAAAGCACAGAGCAAGTGTTTAATTTAATATTGCCTCTGAAACATCAGTGGAAACATTCTTCTTTTATATTTTTTTTATCCTTTGATGTTCTTTCAAGCTAACAAATGCACAGATCTAATGCTATTGCAAGCATGTTTAGATTATCTCTGGCATAAAAAGCATATTGCGTTTGCATTTCTGTTCAGGAAGTAATACATGAAAATACACTAAAAAAAATAACTTTACAAAAAGAGGGAAGGGTAAAGAGTCTAGAAGTTAGATAAAAGTCAGGATAAATTTGAAAATAAAGAGGAACTTACCCTATAATAAGAGTAGTTTCAGAGCTGGAGGAGTTCTTGCATCTCAGTAATTTTGAATCCTTAGTTCAGGTAGCGACATACTTGTATTGAAGCCAGAGTCTGTATAGGCGAGCACACACGTACGTGTGGGTGTGAGTCGGTGTGCATGCGTGTGTCTAACAGTCTATAATACAGAGATGTATCTATTGATATCCTGCAACATGAGAGACTCTCGGTGCTGCCAGCTGAGATCCCTTGCGTTTGCCAGGCGCTGTTGCTGCCTGGCTGTCTGAGGCTCGCAATCCAGCGGAGAGAGGAAGGCGGGGGAGAGAGCAGCTCGCTAGCTGCTCCTATTTCTCCTTGTTTCCATGGCGGTTAGCGGCGCTGGGCTGTCACTGCACGGCGCTGCTGTCGGGTGGTCATTGCCAGCGGGGCCGCGGCTCCGCGGGCAGAGCGGGCGCCCGGTGCGCGCAGTGCGCGGCGCGCCCGCGGGAGGGGGCCCGGGCCGGGACGGCGCTGCTGCTCGGGCACGGAGCCCGCGCGGCCGGGAGCGCGCCCAGAGCTCCGCCGAGCCCCGGGAGCGGCGGGGCGTGCTGTCCGTCCGGGCTCAACGCGCTGGGAGGGCCGCGGTTTCTACCCCCACCCCCTCTTTTATTTAATCTTTTTTTCCCTTTAAGGGATGTTATCTGTACTCAGAACAACTTATTAGGGATCACTGAAGTTCTGCAAAGGCTGCTGTAGTTCAGAGGATACTGTGTCATGAAACCATTCAGGAAAATGTGCTGTGCCTTGCCCCCAGTTTTGGTGCCTTTTTTTTTTAATATTTTTTTTAAGCTCAAGATAGGAAAAGATTTTACATATTCTTCCTCTTCCAAATCTTGTCAAATATTACATTTTACTATCTGTGCTTATCATTAGAAGGTAAGAGCAATAATACATCTTCCTGAGAAATAAAATTTCTAAATTAACTCTGAAAAGGGTTGGTTAAATAAGAAGTCAGTTTTTCTCAATCTCTGTTTGAGTCTGTCTTGTGGCCATCCAATTATATAAACAATAGGATGCCCAGATTTTTCCTTCCCTTTCTTTCTTCTTTCTCCCTTTATGCTATCCTCTTTGGTGAATGATTTATTTTTCCCCTGTTTATTCTTTCTATGGCCAAAGGGCATACAAACTATGAAGGTTTTTTAAAATTGTAGAATAATTTCTGATTAGATTATCATCACCCTTTCTGCTAAATACATAGAACAATAAATGAGATAGATGATGTTAGGAAAAGGTTTTTTATCATATATACTGTTTATATGGAAGAAATTACTTTATAATATAATATGATTAATAATGAAGCACAAAGAATTGGTTAGCAACAGGTCAAAAAGAAGAAAATGTTGGATCTCTTGCGTGAATTCAGTCCCACAGCCCTGAGCAAGTCAGGCCACCCTCTAGTGGACTGAAGTGAGATGTAGTTCTCATTTCACACTCATCTGCTTTGAAGAAAGGCTCACAATCTTGTCTAATAACAGTATGAATATTTTCTGAAGATTAGAAAGAATGGTGTGAATTAGTGTACTTTTTGCTATAGCAATAGCACCAGAATTTTACAATAAAATGGTTGCTATTTTATGAATACTGAGTCTCATCTCAATTCACTTTGGATCAGATCTTGGACTGCATTATTTTTGTTTTTATTTAGGAAGAAAATAATTTTAATCTTCATACAATCACTTATTATGAAAATTGAATTAAATGAATGCCACCATTCTGAATAAATTTCATGATGTTACAATTCGTTAGGGCAAATTTTACAAATCTACTCCTGTTAGACTCACTTACACTGTGGCTATATTAAAGCAGTCTTTTCCTTCTGCCTCAAATTTTTGAATGCTGCACTTAAGCTAGCTACAGTGAACAAAGATTTAAATTTTTTCAAAGATGTGTGCTGTTCATTTTTCACTCATCCAACTGAGTGGGACTGTTTTATGGATGAAACAATAGCATTTATTTGACTGATTAGCTGCAAATAGGTGAGATACTCTAGGCTAGGGAAAGGCCAAATGGTCTTTTTATTTTCTCTCATTCTTTGTTATGGATATTCAAATTTTTTCTAATGTGAGCTAAAGAGTTATTATGAAAAAGTTGGGGCAAACCCATCTTTGGTTACTTTTCAGGTCTTCTTGCCTGAGGTTGGGACAGGGAAAATTAAGATCAGAAAGATGTCACATCATTTTTCTGTAGCCTCAGGGCTCACTGGTGAAACCTTGTTTTTCCTTTGCCCCCACGAGGTGGCTCTTGGAGCCTCTGATCGATGTGATGTTCACCACCATGAGCTGCAAATTCAACCCATTTTAAACTTCCAAGTCAGCCTTTAAGCTTTCCCTGCTGCACAGCCTAATGTCCTGTGTTGGATGGGATAATGCTCAGGATGTTTTTGAGTGAGTACAACCCAAAGCCAGAAGAGTAAGACCTCTTGCCATGGTAGCTCCCACAAAAAAAATGGCAATTCTTCCTGATCTCAGCCCTCTCCTACCTTGCCCCCACAAAAGATATTAACCTGTGCTAGAGGGGTGGGGTTTTGGGGGCAGTAAGAGACAAGAATATTTCAAAAAGTTTGGGCAAAGTTGAAAATGATCCTTTAAAGATGATTAAAAACTGCTAGATTTCATATCTCATCCAGTGGAGAAACAGATGATCTGGAGAAAGGTAAAAAGATAGGGACTATCTATGTGAAATCATTCTTGGGTTTTGCCCCTAGCCTCTTCATGAACTCGCTGTCATTCATTCAAAATTTGGCTTTCTAATTAACATGAGAATCATGCAAAAACATATTCAGTGATTTGACATGTGAAATTAAGATTAGAGAAGTGCTTCATTTTGGTTGATTGGTATGGACTGTGTAATTAGAGGGCTAGATAATTAAATCAACTAAAGTATACTTGCATAAAGAAAGTGAGTTCTTATGATAGACTATATATGCAATTAAAGTACTTCCTTGATAGGCATACATTTACATATTAGTTAAAATGTTATTAAATCATACTAAAATTCTGTTTTGTAAAAAAAGTGAAGTAATTGAATTTTATTATTTAGGTAATGCTAAAGAATATTTTTAAAACTATCTGCAGGAGAAAAGTATCTTTTATAACCAAAACAATTATGATTATTAAAGTTCATTAAGTTATTTTTCTGCTAATTTCACTGTGATGCTTGATGGTTTTAAAATAGCAATGTAATCAATTTTATGAAAATCATATATATAGCTTAATAGGTAACAGGATAGGAAAAAATTCTCTCAGACTGATAGAGAGACAATGAAATTAATGCAGACTAACTCCAGCAATTTATTTAGCATGCATTTTATCTGATTACTAAGTTCACGTTAAATAAACTAAGTAATTATTTGTTTTTAATGGGCAATAAACACAATCCATAAATTCCTTCGTTATTTAAATACAATGATGTTGTGTCTGCATTTTTTTTCAAAATTGGAAAATTATTTCAAAACTTTTCCCCCTTTTTCATTATGTAGAAAGGCAGAGCATCCTTGGGCTTCCATATCCTTTTTTCCTGGTTCAGGATTACCCATGACCATTTCTAGTGTTTTCAGTCTGTGAGAACACAGCTCTGTTTAGAATGCAGCAAGTGTAGTTAAAAACTGTAATAAATACTGTGCAGTTACAGTAAAAATACCACAACTATTTGATTTAAAATCTAAGATGACACACTTTATATCAGAAATTGGAAATAATTTTTCAAGCATGTATTCATACAGATTATGGCCATGTGTAAAAGAGACAACACTTTTGGAACAGCTTTATCACCTATGACTACATGTGCTCCTATCCTGGTTTCTGAGGCATCATGACTAAAAGGAAGAGGCTCAGTTGTGGCTTTTCTCACTTTCTTCTTGTAGCCCATTGAATAAAAAAGAGGTGAGCTGGTGGGGTTTTGTTTGACAGATTAATTCTCACCAGTTCTGCAAAGCACGCCTTTTTATATCTTCCATGTGGGTTGTGGAGTATTTTTTTCTGAGTGAAGGTCAGTTTCAAAGAAATCTGTGTTGTGGCATCATCTGTTAATTTATTAATTGACTTACAATTTATAGCTGGTTGTCATTGCATGATTTGCCTGGAAGACCACCCCTTCATGTAACCCTGTTCTGCCAGCATTTTCAGTGCAATGTTATCAATCTGACATTGTCACGTGCATTTGACAACCTTGCATTGTCATGGCAAGACTATTGATGTTTTCCTAAAAGGATTATGCTGCCATAAAGACTAATTTTTATTAATATGTATCTTTCCAAAATTGAATCTTTTTTTTTCAGCGATAAATAGAAGAAAAATTTCTGGCTCTTGTTCTTTGTCTTTTTGGAGATGAAAGGCTTGTTGCCAACAATGAATTCAAATTTCTAGAGTTTCACTTCGTAATGAAAAATGCTGTATCAGATTACTTAACCTGTTATGAAATTTCTTTTATCAGATCTGAGAGTTAGTGTTGATATAATAGAGCAAAAGTGGATGGAAACAAATCTGTAAAGAATTTCACACAAGGAAAAATTCACTTATGCACAAAGCCCCAGTTACTTCTTTAAATGCTATGTAGGTAGTAGGTGCAATATGACTTGGCAAAATCTGGAACTCCATAGTAAAGAGCCTTATACTACAGGCAAATTCAGTCATGTGCGATGGGGTTGAATGAAAGCAGGGGTAAGGAGCTGATCTTGGTGATCTAGGAGATATTTCCTATTCCAGAAAACTTGCCTATTTATGTAGTAACTATTTTCTATGAAACAAAAACTATGAGATCCCAGGAAAAAGCTATAGTCTCTTTCCTCATTATAGATCCCAGAGCCATAGTCAGCCTTATGCAGGAGTGGCTTGAGGTCTGAAAAATCTTAACAAGTTTTATCCCTACTGGGTCCAGCACAGGTGCATATCTGAGTTCTAATTTTCATCCTTGACCCTATTCTAATAGGCGAGAATCCCTGGCATACCCGTGTCTGCAGAAGGCTGGAAGTGAGTCACACATAGCAACCACAACCTTGCTGCGTCACATGGGATTCTTAATGAAGACGCAGTAGTAAAAAGCAGCTAGAGAATCCTTATATGCAGCTGGATAAGGCTGATGAAATATCTGTAAAGCAATTTTCAAGCTCAGTATATATGTTTAAAAATTGATTTCATCTCACAAAGTTTATGTCTTGTGGTGACATCTCAGGTTTTGTAGCCTTTGTTAATTGGATATAACTTACTGAGATCTCTGTGGTGGATCTTTAGAACTGAGATACCTTTGTAGATTTCTGAAGGATCTGCTTGTTTGTGATCCTTGTTTGTGGGAGCCAGAATGTACACGGAATATAGCAGTCAGTGTCGTAGCTCTTGGAGCTAATCTGGATCTAAGGCTGAGGAAGAAAATAGTGGCAATAGTGATTTGAATGTAAGGCCTAGAATTTCCATCCTGCTGTTAATTTGTTG